GAGATAGAATTAGAGAAAGAATAAGAAATCTTAAAAAGAAGGAAGGAAAAAAAGAAAAAAAAAAAAGAAACGCGCATACGTTTAGGGTGACGGGTATATAAAGATATAAGGACAGGGTCTGTAAGAGAGACAGAAGATAGGGTGGGATACGCGAAGTAAGTTAGTCAGTTCAGGGTGCGAGAAGGCAAGAGAGAAAGAGAGAGATAGACAGACAGGCAGACAGACAGAGAGAGATATAATAAGAGGGAGTGAGTCGCGGCTGCGTCATGTTCTCAGCGAACTGGGTCAGTGGGTCTCCCCACTGCTTCGCGTCGTACATCTACTGCGACGTACACACAGAAAAGCACTGGCACTGTCGGGGAGTGCCAACGGCGTTACTGTTGACCCAGCCACGGCCTGTAGTGGCCTGTGCGCTTGCCCTGTGCCCGCTTACCATAGCTCTGTGTGTTGTTTCTTTCGTGCTTTTTGAAAGCAAGAGTTGTTCGCGGGCTCATGGCATCCATTCGATCTTTACATAATATCTAATACGTATACAAAAGCATTATGAAATAAATGATTTCTGCGATATTCTTATTTTCTTATTGATATATAATATAATTGTTTTCCAATAATTTGTTAATAATCACGTGCATTTAATCATTTCCTTGCTTGATTGTTAAACAAATTTTTCGATCATTGTTTTCGAAATATATCGCAACTTATTTCGTTTTTGTCTACGAACAAAATCGATAGTAACGTATCGATTCATGATAGGAACTCGTGCGGATTTGTAGTACACGTGCGTAGAGTAGTATTTGCCGGTAGCCTTAACGATAAATACGGTCGACAAAACGCGGCGGCAATAACGGACGGCAGACCGACGCGGGAGTGTACAGGGACAATACTTCTCCTGCCGACATAGACCTGGTTCCGTAAGTAGGTCATCCCCGCCATAGGCTTCACAACCTCCTCCCCTCCCTCGTCAATCCCTTCGACCACGGCAATACCTCCCCCATCCTCCTGTTCCTCTCTCGTTCGTTCCTCTCCTCCCGAGCACCGCGTATTGCCTATCCCCCACCAGCAATCGAACACTCAGAGGCACCTCCACTACTCTCCGTCGGGCACCTGGCCGCGCGCGGTGGCATGCGCTGCTGAATCACTTTCACTTATGCTGTGTACTGTGTTGGTTATACATACGCCGTACATCTCTCTCACTCTCGTGTTCTCACATTCGACCCGTGGCCGTCGGTAAAGGGACACGCGCGCGCTCTTTCTCTCCTCTCCTCTGTAGCCACCGAAACACCAAGGGAGCCTGACGGCAGTAGTGTGCGCACCTCTCGCCATTCTCCCAGTTCTGCCAATTTTATTTTATTCCCGACGGTGTCACGGTGAAGCGCGTATCTCTCTATACTGGGGCGAACCCGCGCCGCACCGAACCGCACCGAACGTCACCGTGTATCGTGTTGTACCGTAGTCATTTCGATTGTGTGTGCATCCAGTACTGCCGCCTCGCGCAAAGCGCATGCTGTGTTCGCGATAACGTGTGTGTTATTTTTATCGTCAAAAAAAAACATCAACAATATAATAACGTATATTCTATTTTATTGGGCAAGAGGAGGGAATAAATTAATAAAAATAAATTATACATGTTTTTTGAATATAATACCCGTAATCGCCGTTTTTGTTACTGTGATATATGTGACGTATGCCGTGTCTCACAAGACAGTCTTCTGATTCTACCTATTTCCATGTGTCGACAGTAGGGCGAGGTAGAGAAGAGGGGGTGGGCCCTTCAGAAAAGCAACGAGACGAGAAGACAACTAGTCGTACGCAGATAGTTGAGTTGTCAAGTCGCATGGTCCGGGAAATGAAAGATTCTTTCTCTTTTCTATTCTCACTCTCTGTGTTTCTTTACTAGATTTGATGCATTTTTGTTTTTTTTAACGGATATATTACGAATATTCTTGGATTGCAGTGTGTGCGTGTTCACTCATATTCAGTTATTTTGTGTTAAACATCGTGATCAAACTTTGATTCGCGTCCGCGCATGTGTGATCACGCGATAACGCTACCGGTGATTCGCGTGCTCGATAGAACAACGATCCTATTGTTTTCTTCGCACTGTGATCCTAGTCAAAACGATTCTACACCTCGTGGCTTCAATACCAGTACGAACCTCGTGTGTGCTTATCCTTGTTTCGTCTCACATTAAGCTGGATTTATCAGTGATCACAACCAGAAAAAGATAATAAAGAGAAACGTTATAGTGGCTTTTTGTTTCGAAAATAATACAAATGCCTCAGTGACAGTTGACAATTTTTTTTTTTACGCAACATACGAAATCCACCTTTTATCATATTACGATGGTTCGGACGTAGTAACACGGTTGAAACAGGATTTATTTTTTGCGGTGGTGCGCGATGGCTTTCTTCATAAACGCGTGTCGTAGAAAAACGTGACTAGTGATCGATATTGTATGTGCCAAGAGAATACAGTGTATATTCTTTTTACGCTTATGCTTTTGATTACATCGTTTTCGTTGTCGTCGTCGTCGTCGTCGTCGCCGTCGTCGTCGTCGTCGTCGTCGTCGTCGCCGCCGTCGTCGTCGCCGTCGTCGTCGTCGTCGTCGTCGTCGTCGCCGCCGTCGTCGTCGCCGTCGTCGTCGTCGTCGTCGTCGTCGTCGCCGCCGTCGTCGTCGCCGTCGTCGTCGTCGTCGTCGTCGTCGTCGCCGCCGTCGTCGTCGCCGTCGTCGTCGTCGTCGTCGTCGTCGTCGCCGCCGTCGTCGTCGCCGTCGTCGTCGTCGTCGTCGTCGTCGTCGCCGCCGTCGTCGTCGCCGTCGTCGTCGTCGTCGTCGTCGTCGTCGCCGCCGTCGTCGTCGCCGTCGTCGTCGTCGTCGTCGTCGTCGTCGTCCTCGTCGTTATCGTCATTGTCGTCGTCGTCGTCGTCATCGTTGTGGTTGTCGTCATATTCTCATCCTTATCGACAACGTACGCAGCCTGTGATACTATAATATACGCAAGTATCACGATATTGCACGTCGTATACCATTACTGCTTCAAAATTAAAAAGAATAATCTATTAACCGTCGTTGTTCTGTCACATTACACGCCATTGGCAAATATAAAAAAAGAAAAGAAACGGAAAACATTTATCATTTACCACAGTGGTTAAAATTAGAAGAATTTACAATCAATTCATATATGAGCCAATACGCCACAAGCACGTTCCTCCGTGCAGTATTTGCGCAAGGGTGATATGTTATTGGAGATGGAGCAGCATTCGGGTCTGATATCCCTGAATATGTCGCCGTTCCATTTAAGCCCTCAGGGTAGTCCCCAAGGTGCGGCCAGTGCTGGTCAGCAACAGCAACAAGCGCAACAACAACAACAACAACCACAATACGGTTCTTCACCGTATGGGAATTGCGCTCAAAGTCCTCCTACAACAATGTGTCATCAATCACAGTCACAACAACAACCGCAACAACAGCAACAGTTGCCGGTACATAATCAGGCGCATTCGCAGGGTATTTCGAATTTCGACGCCGCGTTTTTCGACTCCACCGCCCTTGAAGAACGGTGTCCCATGTGCGGGGACAAAATGTCTGGTTATCAGTATGGTCTGCTTACATGTGAATCCTGTAAAGGTTTTTTCAAACGGAATAATTCACCGTGTAGCAGTAAAAAAGTATATACATGCCTATTTTCGCCAACGGGAGGTGGGGGAGGTGGGGGCAGCGGCGGTGGTGGTGGCGGAGGTGGCGGTGGTGGAAATGGTAACAACGGTAACAACGGTGGAACCGGTAGCTGTGGCGGCGGCGCATCATCGGCACTCGAGATCGGATCTTGCGGCAACAAGAAGGTGTACACGGGTCTGTTCTCGCCAACAGGAGCCGGAAGCGGCACTGGTGGCAGTGGAGGCAGCAATGGCGCGGCAAACGGTGCTGGAGGTGGTGGTTGCGGCACATCGACAGCCCTCGAGAGTAGCGGCAGCAATTATACCGGTGGCGGTGGTGCCGGTACCGGTGGTGGAGGAGGAACGGGTGGCGGCGGTGGTGCGGGTGCCGCTGGCGGTCGTGGGCCCACCGCAGGGAATGCCTCTGCTGGTGGTAGCGGTAGCGGTAGTGGTGCGGCCAGCGGTGCAAGTGGCGGCGGATCCGCTACGGTAAGCGGCAATGTCGCGATACCAACTACCACCTACTCATTACCAACTGGTACCCTCTGTCATCCCGGATTGGGTCAGGTCGGGGTTGGTGTCGTGACCGGCTCGATACCGTGTCCGTCCGAATTCCCCGATACCAAGGACATCATCATAGAAGAACTCTGTCCGGTCTGCGGCGACAAAGTTTCCGGATACCATTACGGGCTACTCACTTGTGAATCCTGCAAAGGTTTCTTCAAACGCACCGTCCAAAACAAAAAGGTCTACACGTGCGTCGCCGAGAGGTCCTGTCACATTGACAAAACGCAAAGAAAGCGGTGTCCCTACTGCCGTTTTCAGAAGTGCCTCGAAGTCGGCATGAAGCTTGAGGGTGAGTTTTTGTTCAATTGTGACGTCATTCTAGCGCGGCTATCTATCTTTTCTTACGCCTTTTCGTTATGCTTTGCAAAAGAACGTATGCGCACATATAATTTTTCGATAGCTGGTAACGGATCGACAAAATCTTTTTCTTTCTTCTCTTTTTTCTTTTTTCTTTTTTCTACTTTAAAAAAAATTTTTTGCAAAAATTGCAAATCAAATAACGTGGAATGATCCGTAAAACAAATAACGATACAAAAAATTTCATATTGTTACGCAAACCAGTTTTATTTGACCAACAATATGAGTGCTCATTTTTTTGGATGTGAAAGCGTTGCATGCGGGTATCATCGCGATTTTTATACAGAAGGATTGAAAAGAAAGGAAAGATTGGAAATGTATATGCGACCAAATAGATTTCGATGTTCAATGCAACATAATCGTGAGACATGTGTTATTATTGCGTTTGCACATGTAATAGAATAAAAAATTTTGGAATCAAAAGTATATTTGCGTTAATACGAATGACAAATTGAAATCTTAATAAAAGAAATATTATTTATCTTTTTAATATTTTCATTGCCAAATGTTACATAGTAATTTTTTAGAAATATTTTTAATTTTTAAATATATTTATTATTATAAATCTGAATTATTATTTTCATAATATTTTCCATTTATATAATATATTAATGTAATTGCTTTTATTGCTTCATTGAAAATATTCTTGATGTATATTCTTCGGTATTATTGATGAATATTACCGCATTATTATCAATCTATATATTATCTCTTATTCAATATCTTTTTATAAATTTTGCGAAATATCAAAAATAATTTAGGCGCGAAAGCGTGAGGTTTGCATTTTCGGTATCGTACGGTTTCTTTCGGTAAACCTCGGTAAAATCCGTTTACGTTTGTGCATTTTCGCATTACTTTTAACGTTAAACTTAAACCATATCATACATATGTAAAATATTCAAACAATATTGTTATTTTTCTTTATAAATTCTTTTGTCGCTTCAATATTTTAATTTTGGCAGGCACTTCTTTTATTTTTTACATAAATATTATTCATATGACTCATATTTCATTGCTAAATTTCAATAATATCGTACGATCAAATTCATATTGAACAACCGATTAAGTAAAATCATTAATTAACACTCATATATGCATAATAAAAAGATTTCTATAAAAATATAATTTTAGTAAAATATAGTTACCGTCAATTTTTTAAACTAATGTATCGTCTCTTCAAGCTGCCTCTTTACAATCAACTTTTGGTCCATTATCCATACGTGAATTAAATATATAAATTTTACAGTTACATGTATAGTTAGGAAAACTATAATCGCTGTTTTCGGAATTTCTAATTTCATAAAATTTTTTTCGCACTTTGATAATGGTTAAATTAAGATGATTCAAATGAAGCGTTTAATGCAATACGAATAACTAGGTCTAGGCCCTCAAGGCCCAGCAATTAAGCGAATCTCGAAACAAGCTGTTGCAATTGCCGCCTTTGCACGCTGTTTTCTACGGCGTTCCTACAAACGGCAATGAGAATTGCTTAACGCGGAAAGTTTCCAGAGTGCTTGCGAATGTTTACGAAAGGAAACACTTTCTTACTTGCACGCTATTCAGAAATGTAAAAATGCTCGTTCAGAATATAAATATTATATCAATTAGGCGGAACAGATCGTTTGATTTTTTTTTGCTGTTCGAGTCAATCTTCATTTTGTTAAAAGTATATATATAGGTAATTTGACACATTATATTTTCTTATTTGGTATCAATGTACATATATCAATATATGTATATCAATCATTAACAGTCAACAGTATATGTACTTAACAATTTTTTTTGTAACAGTTGTAACAGTTATATATATATACAATCGATAATAAAAATTTCTCGATTGTAATCACTATTACACTATCATTATAACATTATAACATTTCTTACCATTTATTTACACTTTATATTTCTTTTTAGTAAATGAAATATATATAACTTGTGAATTTATATTCGGACATATATCTTTCGTTTCATACTTTCGATACTTAAAAAAAAAAAAAAGTACGTTATACTGAAAAACTAGAGCGTTGATATTTAAATAAAAGTACCGATTAATACGTTTGTGATAATCGTATGATAAAACTTATTATAATTCTGCAACAAACTTGCTGTTTGCTATTAATCCATGAATACGAGAACAAAATTCATTCAAAGATAATGTGATTCAAACATTATCCGGCTTTAAAAAGTTGAATTGAAAACTATTCCTTTCTAATGAAATTATGAAGTCATCAAAGAATGTATCCATCATACGATAAATCTTTTGATGATTTTGTTGTATAAAAATTGCAAACACGTTTCAATTTATATATTTTTGAATTTTTCGAATTTTTTAACATGGTGATTAACAAATATTAACAAATATTACAACAAGAAGAGAAATTTATAAATTTTCGGATAAATAAAAAGTTTCTCGATATCTGATTCTTATTATTCTAGTTTTTAATAACGATTAAATTTATGTTATCTTTCGAAACAAAATTGTAGTCACTATATACTATTTTTAAACAGACTATCGACAATCTCTAAAACGTTTGTTGAATTTTTAATTTTACTTTCGAACGTATCGCCATATGTGTTCAGACACAATCAAATATTGACACTACAGTTAGAATTTCACAGCTGCGAATAATTTGACTGCTTCGTTCGGTTCTTTAAATACTATTCATTTTTACTCATTTTTACATTTTTACTTTCGCATTTTTGATTTCATCGAAAAAAAAAAAAACGATGACGAAATTCATTCGTTCTTCTTCTGTTCAATTTTAATAACATTAAATACGAGTAATAGAAAAATAAAATAGGAGAAAATTTTAATTTCTTATTAAAATTAAAAACTTATTTTGTAATCCGACATAAGAATTTATAAGAAGAATTATTGAAAATTTATGATTCTTCGAAAATGCAGTTTTACGATTACATGACTGAATAATCAGTCAAATGACTGATACCGTTTAACGAAATATAACTGTAATGAAAAAACGTAATAACTTATGCAACTGATTTTCCCTCTTTTTTTATTAAACATGTTTTTAATGAGCTCCAGAATAATGGTGCTCTTTTTTCAAGGTTCATATTGCTCATTCCACGAAATATAATATTTTATTTCTTATTTCATTTTCGATCCAATTTTAAATTTGTAATTAACTATTTCCACGTACGATGTAATAATTATAATTTTTTTTAATTATTTCTTTTGAATTTTTTAGATTTAATATAATTTTACAATAATATTAATTCAATATTGATTAATAATAATCAATTTTTTTATTTATATAAATTTAATAAATAAATTCTTTTTTTCTAGATTATTCTTTTATATAAGAGTTAAATATAATTATGTTCTTTGGATGGCCATGTTAAGGAAATGATAGAATCTTTTATATATTTTATATATACGCTAATCTTAGACATCTGGTGTAACTAATATAAAAAAATTCCTCTTCAATTTGTTTTTTAAAATATTAGCTTTTTTACGCATCTTTCTTTTTCTTATTAACGTCATTCTCGATAAAAAGTTTCGTATATACTACTGATGTTAGTAAATTTTCTTTTTGAACAAAGATAGACTTGTCATTTGAAAGAACAGCAATGTACACGCGTACATTCGCGTGTGACTAAAACCAAATTAGTATTATTTCGCAAGTGGTATCTAGAAATTTGAGATAGACGTTTCACGTCCATGCGATATAATCAAGTGAAAGCCTTTCAACGTCCAGAACAAATTTCTATTAGATGGCCGAAATATATTTTCATTAGCTAAGACAGTTGAAATTAAAGTCGAAAAAAATTTGTAGTCGCTTTCAACGTT